ATAGAATAGAATAGAATTTTATTTGCACTCGAAAAAAAAAATGACAAGATTATTACAATAAAGTTTTACATGAAAGAGAACGGTGCTGGGGAATTGGAGTAACTAAAGTTTTCGAGCCAATTCCCCATAAGAACTATATACAACAATGAATTAAATATGGCAAATAATAATACAAAAGAAAAATAAATTTAGAAATATATACAGGGTGTATCAGAAAAAACTGAACAGATTTGAAATTGCTCTCAATTTTGCAAAATACCTATTTGTGTCTGGTTTTTTATATATATAGCTTCTTTGGGTACTTATAATGTAAAATATTGAAAAAAAATTCTCGATCTCAAATTTTGTGAACCAGGGGGGTGTGTCTTTTGCAACAAATTAAAAATGGCTCGCGCACAAAATTTAAAAGCTGTAATCATATTTTGAGTTAATAGATTGAAAATTTGTCGGGTTTTTAATTACTGTACAAAATTTCAGACAATTTGGTTTAGTTTAAGCCATTTAACTATTCATTTTATTCTAAAAAATCAGCCTTTCGCATGCTTAATTAATGCCTTTACCTAATTTGCATATTGTTAACATATGCAAATTAGGCAAAGGCATTAATTAAGCATCTAAGAATTATTCAGGAAAATACAACCTCGTACCCAGGGCATTTTACCTCCGCGGCGTCGGCGAAAAAGGCCCTGGCCTCGGCTGGTCACATGACACCCTGAATTTTGGGGTGTTTAGTATGATAATTTATGAGCACCTCTGACAATTTAGGAATAATTTACATAATAGTTATGCAGATTCAGGAATAAAAATAAAAATTGTCTAAAGAACTTTATACAGTATTAGCGAATATGGAAATTCTCAACAGAATACACATCGCTTTACATAATGCGGGTATGGCCAATAGAATACTTAAACCACAGCAAATACAATGTTTTGATTACATTTGTAAGGGACATGATGTTATTGCAGTTTTGCCTACTGGATTTGGAAAGTCAGTTTTATTTCAGTTGCTTCCAGACATATTGCCGACAAAAACAACAATCAACATTGTTATTGTGCTGTGCCCTCTTTCGTCTATCATCGAGGATCAGCTGCACAGTCTTAAGATAATGAGTATTAACGCCGGTGTTCTTCCATCACGTTACGAAAACGAAAATTGTGAAACGCTATTCAACAATGAAGATATGGGCATGGCAGCCGACATCCATTTGCCAGACGATCTTGTAAATGGGCTTACCAGCATAGTTTTCGCTCATCCTGAAGATCTCCTTTCTGATGTTGGCAGAAAACTTATGAAATCAGATGTCTATCAGAAGAATGTTGTAGCCTGTGTAATCGACGAAGGTCATTGTGTGGAAATGTGGTAAGTAAAATGTCCATGTTATTTATAAATGCATCAACATTTACAACAAATTGCATTAAACTCTTCTTTTAACATTTTATCTGATTTGTTTTAATATCAGTTTTAGTACTACTAAAGTGAACTCCAACCAGTATTGTGTGTTAATCAGAGAGCCAAATTGTTTGTTGTGAGATGAAAGGCAAAGGCTTGCAAAGCCCAACCACTGCCCCCCCCCCCATCTCAGTCTTGCACCTATGCACTTTGGTTTGCACCATCCCCACTGAACACTTGCCAGAAATCTTCTATGTCTGGCAAATAAGAAAACCCCTGCTAAGACAAAATTTGTTTATAAATGTGATTCTTATAAAATGCCTTTCCTAGATTTTGTGCTATGGGTTATAACAATTTATATAAACAGTTGTTTTAATGTTATAGGGGGAATGACTTCAGAAAGGATTTTAAAGGACTGTCATGTCTGAAGGCAATGTTTCCCTCAGTTCCAACCTTGGTCCTCACTGCTACTGCACCACCCCAGCTCATCTTGGATTTGAAAAAAAGTTTGTGTTTAAGTGACAACTGCAAAGTAATAAAAAAAAACCCTAACAGGAGCAATATATTTCTGGATCGTGAAAAGCGCTTGAGCAACAACCATGGATATGATAGTTACTCAGCAATACTTAAACCAATTGCTGAAGATCTTTTGAATCAAGGTACAAATTATCCTATTACAATCATATATATGAAACTCAAATACTGTGGTTTTGCATACTCATTGTTTAACAAAACTTTACAAGAGAAACAGTATGATGGTTCTGAGAAAACCCCCTCTTCACGATTATTTGCACAGTTTCATTCACCACAAACAAGGAAAATGAAGCAAGAGATAATTACTGAACTTAAAAAAGAACATTCAAGAATACGTGTTATTTTTGCAACTACAGCATTAGGGATGGGTGTTGATGCACCCTATGTTAGCAATGTCATTCATATTGGACCATCATCGAACTTGGAATGTTACTTTCAAGAAATTGGCAGAGCTGGACGTAGTGGACACCCAGCTAAAGCAACAATCTATTTTAATAACTCGGACATAGCTGCTAACAAATGCACCATTAATGATGCAATGAAATGGTACTGTCAATCTGATGGTGTTTGCCTTAGAAAAATATTGCTTGAGTATTTTGGTTTTCACAATGTTGTGCAGAAAAATTGTTGCCGTGTTTGCAATGGTTTTGATTACAATGCATCACAAACAGTGGCTGTTAAAATACCTGTTAACCAAACCAAAGTTCGCACATTATCTGTTGCGGACGTGCCAGTGTTGTTCAAACAATTGCAACAAGTACTTTTAGAATGTGAGAAACTTTTGAATGACAGTAAATACACTGCACTATATCATCATGGAGTTTTACCTTCGGCAAGTGAAATAATGGAGAGTATTGAGTTTATTTTAAACGAGGACGATTTATTGAAAAATTTTAGCATATATGATGAACTTTGTGCATCTAAACTAATTGCTCTTCTTGATATTTATGCTCCTGCAATCTAGCACTTTCTTAACACCTATTAGCATGTTTGGATATCATAATCTATCAATTTATATTATTGCACTCTAAATCTAGTATATATAGTTAATTGATCATTGTTAACAAGTTACAATTAATATTCAACAAAAATGCCAATGGCAGTGTCAATGCACCTTTTTTTACAATCTTACTCAGCTGCTTAATAATCTACAACAGGGTTCGTACGCCCCCTGGAAATCCTGGAAAACCCTGGATTTTTATTTTAGTCCTGCATGGAAAACCCTTGAAAACCCTGGAATTCTAAATTTATCCCTGGAAAACCCTGGAAAACTGAGCTGGGTATAGGATTATACATAAACTATTTAACACTATCTTAAAAAGAAAGATTGAACAAAAGGTTCTTGCTTTATATATAGTCAAACTATGAATGTATTTTGTTCAAACTGGTACAAACCCAAAAAGTATCTGTGCAAGATGAAGTACTAGCCGTCGCGAACGTTTCTTATCCGTTAAACACTTATAGATTTATATTTCAAATGCCCCTGGAAAACCCCTGGGAAAAGGATGAAAAAAGTCCTGGAAAACCCTGGATTTTTTAAATTATGAAGGTGTACGAACCCTGCTACAATATATCAATAGGAAAGTTAAAGGTATTAACCACACCATTCCCTTTATTAAATCATTATGGCGAAATGTGTTCAATAAGTTCTCAATCTATTTATTCATTAACTAATTAAATTGAAGTTGTCTCTAAAGGTCAAAACCTCAAAGTCTAGGCGTGACAGAATAATTGAGCCTACACTTGCTGCCTCCTCCGCAGGCTCCTCTATATAGATCAAATTTAAATATCGGTAATATATAGATCAGCGCGTGCACTGCAAGCCAGATAAAGACGCAAGCCTTTAGGCGCACGCCCGCAACTAAGGACGAGCGCGCAAAGGAAAATGGGCTTTTCCTAATTAATTATTTGATAGCAAGCGACTGGGGACGAGGCAGCCTACACTTGTATGTTAAATGGAAATGAAACAAATTTCTGTGGTACGGTAATCAAACTAATTTGCATATGTGAGCTCCCCTTTCAAGTTTTGATCTTTAGGGCTAAGCTTAATTGAAGTAAATTTATAAAAAAATCGCTTTATGTAGAATAAAAGCGGTTACTAATATATAAGGACTGTTGCTTTCCCAGTGAAAGTACTAACCAGTATTCAGGTACACATCTCTTTTTTATGTCGCTCCAACCACTGGTGAAACTCTACAATGTTAAGGTACCGTAACGGGGACCTCTTTATGTCGTTAAAATCCTTGTATGAGCGCCCCTCTATGTGGTTGAAGGGGTCAAGATTTATTAGATCTTCTATCATGCCTCTCTCATCTTCCGTCGAATTGCGTGTTGTGTGTTGGACTGATTCCTTTGCCACTCCTACAGTCTTATCAAACTGTTCTTTTATCATGGAGATACCACTCATAGCTTTACTCACTTTGTTGATGGATGAAAGAGTTTTATTTGGTCCCATTCTTTGCACAATATTTTTGCTCAGTTTGTTTGTTATTTCCTGTGCTAAGTCGTCTTCAATATTGTTTCCTGTCCCACCTTTCCAATTCACGAAGAAACCCCATTTAAATTGTTGTGACAACCTCGGTGTGAGGAGGCATTCAATCTGTGCAATGCTGACGAACATTTCGATGGCATATTTACTATAGGAACCCAGTGATTTGAATACTGATAGAAGAAACTTTTGATTAATGAGATTCCGCTCTCCGTCACCTTCTCTGGCTGTATCTTTCATTTGTAAAATTAACATTGTGAGGAAAATGGTGCACAATCCATAGTTTTTTACGTGGTCATCATTGACATCATAATCAGTAAGTGGATCAATTTGCAATACATACTTTTGTACAAAGATTCCGAAGACTTCATCAAAATAATTCTTTTTCTGTTCGTCTGTACCATGAATGATGTCTTTTGGAAACTCGTGGATTGTTGGCTTATCATCAACACTAGACATACCAAAGAAATGCAACACTGCAACAATAATATATGCACGGCCAACGCTTAAGAAAAGCTCTTCGCTCCCCTCATAACAGTCGAGCACCTTCTTTGGTGTAGCATTACGTCGATCGTATTTTTCACGGAAATATTTCAGTGTTCCCTGATCGCCAACAGATTCTGACATGTACAGTAGACTGTAACTGTATTGTAAGAGAGATGCTTTGGTGTGCCACATTACAGGTTTAAATGGCGAGCAATGCTCAAAACGATCGGTGGGTGTGTGCGCGCCTGCAAGTAGATCTTTGGCTCCAGCAAAACGTACTCGGGTAAGTTGATCCCCTCCCATAACAACTTTCATTTCCCTCATCGGATCATCTTGGTCATCCATTGCATGGGCTTGCGTTTGGCCGGAGGCAGCTGGCCCGACAGGGATTGGTGGATCATCTTTCTTTGGTAAAATTTCCAGGAGACCAGCCTTGTTATAAATTTCTGCAATCCATTTTTCGTATGTCCTGAGGATTTTGACACAGTCTTGATACTTTGATTCGTTTGCATCAATAATGGGCATGCTGGCAATAAACGATTTCTGTGACATTGCTTCACTAAACGCATGTTCAATATGGGTTGGCACGACTTTCTTAAGAAATTTAAACTTTGGACAAAATTCCAGTACAAGTCTTCCCACAAGGACTTTGGCACACTCGGCATACTTCTTGATCTCGGATGCACTGGGCGAAAATTTGTTCCGCGGAAATGTTTTAATGTCACCGAGTGGAGAATCGTTAGGCACATGGTTAAAATCAATGCGGTTTTCAATTAAGTTTGTTGCAAATAGATGCAGGTCATCGTTTTGCAATCCTTTCCTCATGTGTCCCTTGAGAATTCTCAGATCATAATTATCACCTGTACCACGGAAAGTTTTCCCAGATTTAATTCTACTTGCTGTCTGGTCTAAGAAATGACCACCGATGAGGTTCAGCAACGTGTCTCGTCTTCCATGTGACAAGCAAACTCCTAACTTGTTTAGGCGGTGTTGCAACTAAAAATATATAGAAGATATAGGGAACTTGAATATACAGAAATAACAATTCGGGTACTTTTTCGCAACCATGAATGGAAATTTACCCAAACAATTAGTGGCAATAGTGAATAATTAGAAATGATTATCTTACAGTATCCCCTCCCCACACAAAAATTCGCTTTCCAATTGATTGTAACGTGAATACTTTAACAGCTATTGTATTCAAATAAAGGATTTCAATATTTACGAAAGGCTGAAAGTAGGATTATATATTACGTTTTGAAAATTACAGCAGACGCAACACTGGAAACAGGCTAATTAAACTATAATAGCCATTGACGTTGCCATTGGTTTGTGAAAACTTCATATTTCAGCGTAATTAAAGTAAATTTCCAATTATTTCTTACACCAGCAATTAATTCTATTAGCTTTGTGTTAGCCGTCGTCGCAGTCACGTTGCTGATTTGCTATCTAAAGCCTTGTAAAGGTCCCTTTTTTCCTGGATTCCCAGCTGACTGTCACAGGGCTCCAAATGGAATTTCTCTCGTGCCTGGGGTTAGCCTAATATTTGTTTTGATTGCCTAATTTTTCAACTTTTTTATTGCGCAATATTAAATAACTGTACGTTTTAATACAAAAAGCCTCTGGCTGTTCTGCGAAGGAGAATGTGTACCAAACTTGAAACGTGGCAAACCACTTGACATAGTCTGCAGTTGTAGGGTTTGCGCATAAATTCATGAAGTTCTATCACGCCAGTGGCAGTGCTGTTCCTCTATCGAACTTTACAATAACAATTATGATCAAACCATACTTTATATTAGACAAAAAGTGTTTGCCACATATATTCTATTAATCTATAAATTATTACAACCAGACAAGTAGGTATGTAAGGCATGCAGATGTTTACTTGGCCGAGGAGTTTGGCTGTTTGGGAAGGTTGAGAACAACCTAGTTTTTAGTGCGCAAAGGCCCAGAAACAACCTAGTTTTTTGTGCGCAAGAGCCTGAGAACAACCAATAGCAAAAAAGATTGCTAACTACTAAAAGATAAATCTGAGAACTGCCAAGATCATGACAAACCGTAATATTAAGGTAACTCTCACAAGGCTAATAGAATTGAAAATAAAGATATCAGGGATTATTCTAAGTAAATTTTTTCACTGCACAAAAGCGCGAAAAATGATAAAATTTATATCAATTTAGCGACATTTTAGAAAACGTTCTGACTGCCCTGCATGCATGAGTGCATGTATTCTGGTTCTGCAACTTGCATGTCACGAATTTCAGTATATGCTGCAGGCAAATGACACAAAGTCACTGCTAATGAGCCCAAATCTGCATTCTGCATAATCTATTTCATGCAAAGATATACACATTTCAAATATTTTTTGAATCGCATGCAAAACACCAATCAATATTGCTCAAGATCTAGTCTTTCATACTCATGAAATAGATTAATTATAAACTGTTGATTGTGTCACCAAACAGCGTAAAAAATCTCAAAACAAAAATTGATATTCTTGAACACGACTTGGTCGCTAGGAGCGAGTACCCTATCGGAATAAATATGCCACCGAAACATTTGTAAATGAATGCTTTATTGATGAAAAGGTCGGCAAACAGTAGCCGAGCTCTCAGATTGCAATAATTTTGAGTTAAGTACTTTAACCCTGTATGTTGCGAGCAAAAACTGAAAGCCATTGTATGTGGATTATATGCAAAGTGGCAATTTTGTCACCAATTTCTGGTACTGAACAATATCGCATTTTATCACTGCACATAGTCTAATTTATCACTGCACAAATCACATTTATCACTGCACAAATTGGTTATCACTGCACCTTAGAATAATCCCTAAAAGATATGGCAGTAAAGAAAAATTTTGACCATCAGTCCAGTACTCAAATTAATTTTATTTTTGGCCTTTTCATTGAATTTCCAGTTAATATAATGGTAAAAATTAAATTACTTTGACATCCAATACCCGCGATTACCACGGGATGACGGCAAAAGCGGAGATTTAGTTCGTTCAAATCTCATGCTCATGAGCATGATTCATAATGTGCATACTGCTTGATTTTCGCACTCATGGGCGTACCGGATTTTGGTACGGCCATGAGCACGCGGCCATATATCTTCCAAAATTCAGTGATATGTTCATGAGAATCGTTATGTACATGCTGCATGATTTAGTGTATTATCTATCAAAATCTTGTAATATGCTAATAAGCATGTTTATGAGCATATTGCATGATTTTGTGATATATCGGCATGATTATGAGCGAACTGGATTTGGTATAAGGCCCATACAGACCGGAAGCGATTCGACAAATCGACGCGAATTTTCAATTTTCAATGACATTTAACTTTCCTGTTTTTCGATGTTTTTCAAATCAGTATTCAGAACCACCTAAGCAATTTTAGCTATTTGGTCTGCACGTGTTGTAAAGTTTTTATCCGTTGACGGTTTTATTTGATTTTAAAAACTGAAAATTCGCATTGTGTTGGCAAACCGTGCTCAGTCTGTACAGTATGGGCCTTGTTCTTAACTACTATTTTATACAACCAACCCTAGTCCCACATCATAAAAGTGTATTGCACAAGTCTAGCTTTTTTCTCATGTGGCTTGTCTACACTCAAAACTGGACTGCATAATTTACTTTTTTACTCGTCTAATGGCAGACGATTTTACTTGTCAATGGGGAAGCTCTGCAGCTTAATGGGTTAACCAAAAAATCTGACAATACGCCCCAAAATGCGCCCCACAGTGCGCCCTACTTAATCTTTTTTGCTTGCCTAATGCCAGACGATTTTACTCATCAATAGGGAAGCTCTGCAACTTAATGGGTTAACCAGAGTCTTTATTAAATGAAAGGAAATATGCAATGTCTTGACAGCAGATCTATAATTTGAATCACATATTTTGTCCAACTATAAAACAAATGGTATCATCTGATCTGTTTGAACTATCATACATGATATAAATTACAAGAGGCAGTTAATAAAGGCTTTTTTAACTGTGGCTAAAATTATATGTTAATTCAGTAATAATAAATAATTCAACTCTTTATACCTGTTTACCACATCCACCTTCAATTAATAAAACTGTGTTGATGCGTTGAAACAAACTAAGTTCATGCCATCGAATGCTCATAATGATTGAGTAAATAAAGCAATATTTAACTTTCAATTCATATGTTGTGTTTTTAATGTCAATTTCTTTTCCTGCCATAGCATTTAACACATCAATAAGAAATGGATGATGTGTTATCATTTCTTTCCACAATAGGTCAATGCTAAAATCCTTCATAATCGTATACTGTTCCATACTTGCATACAACACTGATGAATGACTGGATCGTTTGCAAAGTGCATCAGAAGACACTTTACATTTATGCAAAATGTTCCTTTTTATTGCAACTTCAACAGATGGACAGGCTTCTGTTACTATCTCTGCAACAGCAGAAGGTATTCTTGTCCTTGATGCTCGTTCCAATTTTGCTTGCTGAACTGATGTGATGGGTGTTGTGACATATGTATTAAAATGGGAAACATATACTGAGGAAGGATGAAGTGGTAGGACTGATGAAGGTTGAGGCTCCATATGTGATTGGCGGCTTGGTATAATAGTCCGCACAGAAACATAATGCACAGATGGTGTCTGTGGTTTACTACTATGATCAATGTTCATCTGAGTTCTATATTGCATGTCTTGTAAGTGATCAATTTTATCAAAACCAAGTGTCATTCTTGTGTTGTTATCATCATTTGACACAAAAGCATTGCGCTTTGCAAGCAGCAGGTGAGGTTGCAATTCCACGTTTAACACTAAATTGTTGTCTCAGTGTTATTTGAACTCCTTGAATTTGTTGTCTGAATTCCCACATCTTATTTACAAAGTTTTCACATTTTCGACAAATGACTGTTGGAAGATAATCTGTCTCAGCTATGACTATGGCACATGTTTGCAACACCTTTCGTTGCCAATCCTTTTGTATTCCTGAGTTTGAGAAAACTCTTGTAAGATAGCGTGTATCTGTAATGTTTCCACATAGTCTGCATTGATCACCTTGTGATGGCAGATTAATCAGTGGACGGTTCCGGCAACTCTAAAATCGAGAAAATTCTGAAAGTTGAAAGTTAAATTTGCAGCAAATCTATCTTTCGACTCACATATTTCTTATCGATAACACAAAATTCCATATCCTTTTCGATGTCATAAATTATTTTTGAAAAATGTCTAAAAGCCCTACCTTATTTCTCATAAAAGGGTACCCTTTTTTGAGATTTTGTGATAAGGGAATTGGTTCGTTTTAATTACCCTTTTACGTCGATCCAAGTTTCAACTTAAAAGCGAAAAAGCGGATTATCTAACGAATTTATACAAATCAAATCTCCATAAAAATAACTGAAAAGGGTACGATTATCGCTCAACTGCATCGTTTTGTAAAATGACGAAAAAGGGTACCCTTTTCGGTCAACCATGTTGTTTTGTACTAAAACGAAACAGAGTACCCTTTTCGGTCAACTATGTTCTTTACATAGTAATATGAAAAAGGTACCCTTTTTTGTGAAATATGATCTTTCATAATAAGACGAAAAAGGGTACCCTTTTTTATTTAATCTGTTGATACTCAATCGGATTAAAAATGATCTGGAATTTTATCAACTGCGTTAACGCGTTAACGCACGTTAAAGCATAGCGTTTAATTTAAGTGTATACCAATTCAAAAAGCAGTATAATTTATTGGCTTATTGTTAAATCAAAATGGCGGAGTACTTGGGGCAAAATATCGAAGATATGAAAAACTATGTTCAAAAGAATTATACTTATCGGCAATCAGTGACATTTTCAAGCAGCATTTTCCTGGGGTTAGTCGAGGTTTCTCGGAGAGAAACATTCGGTTATGCTGTTCAAAGCGTGGAATAAGGAAACTGAACAATTTTGAAATGGACATCATTATTCAACAGTCTATCAGTGAGGTATATTGTGTGCTGTAACTGATTATCACACGCTCACTGCTTGCAGTTTGAGCACTCTGGCAATAGTTTGATGTCCCACATTCGTGAGGCATCAGTATTAATACTAGTTACTTTTATCCTTCTCAAGTTCAATTAATTATGAATATTAAACTGTTTTGCCTTCACAATATTACCCAACGCTATACGTATATATAGCATATCGATATCTATTTAAAATAATCAGTTACAGCAAACAATACCTCACTGATAGACTGTTGAATAATGGTGTATAGACTGTTAAATAATGGTGTCCAGGGACGCCGGAACGATGTGAAGGCAAGGGGGGAAGATTTTCGTGAAAGGCCACTTTTGAATTGATATATTCTAGGAAATGTTTGCAAAACATTGGGAATTGAACTTCGCCTTATCATGTTTTCCATTTATTGGATAATAGGGGTGTGAGGGAGTTCTCCGCCAGGCGATTGTGCTATTCTTGAAGCTCAATGACTGCATTTCTTGCGTTTTCTGAAGCAAATTCGGAATAGAGTTGCACTAACATTTCCGACAATTCGCTATTTCGCCAAGGCGATCCTTTAAATTGAAAGGGCACTTTTGCCCCCTTGTCCCTCCTGGTAAAGGGCAACGGGGGCGGCTGCCCCTCCTGCCCCCCTAGTTCAGGCGTCCCTGATGGTGTCCACTTCAAAATTGTCCAGTTTCCTTATTCCACGCTTTGAACAGAATAATCGAATGTTTCTCTCCGAGAAACCTCGACTAACCCCAGGAAAATGCTGCTTGAAAATGTCGCTGATCTGCCGAATATATAATTCTTTTGAACATAGTTTTTCACATCTTCGATATTTTGCTCCAAGTACTCCGGTATTTGGCCAATTTTGATTTAACAGTAAGCGAATAAATTATACTGCTTTTTGAATTGGTATACACTTAAATTAAACGCTATGCTTTAACGTGTGTAAACGCGTTAACGCAGTTGATAAAATTCCAGACCATTTTTAATCCGATTGAGTATCAACAGATTAAATAAAAAAGGGTACCCTTTTTCGTCTTATTATGAAAGATAATATTTCACAGAAAAGGGTACCTTTTTCATATTACTATGTAAAGAACATAGTTGACCGAAAAGGGTACTCTGTTTCGTCTTAGTACAAAACAACATGGTTGACTGAAAAGGGTACCCTTTTTCGTCATTTTACAAAACGATGCAGTTGAGCGATAATCGTACCTTTTTCAGTTATTTTTATGGAGATTTGATTTGTATAAATTCGTTAGATAATCCGCTTTTTCGCTTTTAAGTTGAAACCTGGATCGACGTAAAAGGGTAATTAAAACGAACCAATTCTCTTATCACACAAATCTCAAAAAAGGGTATACCCCCTTTTATGAGAAATAAGGTAGGGCTTTTAGACATTTTTCAAAAATAATTTATGACATCGAAAAGGATATGGAATTTTGTGTTATCGATAAGAAATATGTGAGTCGAAAGATAGATTTGCTGCAAATTTAACTTTCAACTTTCAGAATTTTCTCGATTTCAGAATTGCCGGAACCGTCCACTGATTCAGATTTTGTTCTTTTGGATAAACCTTCTGAGGTGTAGTGTTGATACCTTAATTAAAACTGATGGGTATTAAAAGAGGTTTTACAAATTTTATAAAACTATAGAAGATGAATTTAATTAAATATGATTTGTGACTATATCGATCTGAAACTGCCGATTTATATAGTTTTTGCTTACCGCTAAGTTTCTACTAAAAGAGGATTGTGCATTGTATGTCACATTTTGGACAAAAGCATAAACATAAATAGCTGCATGCAGTTCCTTATCAGGTAGCCACTCCTTAAATATTTTAAGATATGCCCCAAAGTTGGATATTTATGTAATGTATCATATATCATTGGATATTAATTTGTAACATAGATCTTAATGGCCTGGGAACATCACCTTCACAAATTATTAACACATTAAAGTTCTTCTTGATTCATGAGAGCAATGCTTCCACAGGACAACTTGGGTTTGTATTTATATAAAGGTATTAATTGTAAACGAAATAACCTGAATAAATTAGCACATCATTTTTGTAGGGGTTTTCCCTAAATTGTCATGATTATCACCAATCTTTCTTAAAAAATTTCCTTTTAAAATTGTTAATTTATAAATTGTCTTGGACATACAGTATGTACCCATGTACCAAATTCCCATGGTTGTACGGTTAAATCATATGGTTGATTTGTAGCAATGAGTAACATACACTGGAAAAAATGTGAAATCCATAATATGAAATTTGCAATTGCACCACTAAATCCACAGTATATCCATACTATTTTTATAATATATCCATAATATGGAATTATATACAATTTAATATTATGGATAATCAAAATCCATTCTATTTCCAATGAAGGTCCATACAATATTTCCCTTCTATGGATTTTCAATTTTTTCCAGTGATACAATAAGAATATTTTATCTGACAACTCAGAGCATACTGTATTAATACGTTGACATAGGTCATTGTACTAATGTGGATAACATTCATGTTCAGTTGGCCGAGCACATGATGTGAATTTCTAAATTTACACATGTTTCATACATAAAATGACAAAGACCATCAGTATAAAAATATATAGTTAATACCACTTTGTGCCTTTGTTTATACTGTCAGACGTGTTATCTTTTCTTTATAGCTATTTGATCATTATGATGAGTTCTGTCCCCGCAATTAAGCATGCAACGTGTTCACTTTTAATAGAAATCGAGTACATCGTCTACTTCCAAGTGCCAATCGGCGCAATGTGACAGGTTTGTTTCAGTTTGGGTGCTGACTATAGTAGACCTGATACACCCAGTAATCAGTATTAAGAAGCCAAACTGTTTGTATCGTGTTGTCTGTTTCACATACATTTATCTTGCACATAGTTAAATAAGCTATGTTTTGTATCTTTGTGACATCAAATACCAGTACCATGCATGATGTATCAAATTTCCATATCAGTATTTATAATAAGTTCAGCTCTGATTAATACGTCTTATAAATAATACATGTGATGTCATCAGAACAGCATGCGTCCAATTATATAAATAGATAAATAAGCATACAAATATGTTTAACTTGCTGCTTACCTTCAATAAAAGCCATATTTGAACGAAAAATCTGCAATATTAACTTCGAAAGTTTTGAGATTTCACAAATCGCTCCTTGTTGATTTGAAATTACATGGAATAAATTATTATCACGCGAATTAATTTGGCTTGCCGGCTAACCAATCATGTTGCATAACTGACCGGCCGAGGCCAGGGCCTTTTTCGCCGACGCCGCGGAGGTAAAATGCCCTGGGTACGAGGTTGCATCAAAGTCGTTCCATAACTTCACCGCTCTGTAATAAAAGGTTCTTTGTCCTGAAATTGTTTTGTGTTGAGCAATGTGTAGCGCTTTATTATTCCTTGTATTTAGATCGTGAATTTAATTTCTTTTTATAAATAATTTAGATAGGTAAGGTGGTGCTAATCCTTTCATATATATGTATGTTATTAGTGTCTCTCTATTTTTTAAGTGTTCCTGTACAGGAAGCCAGCGAATTGCCCGTAGTGCTGGTGTTACATGATCATATCTTCCCGTATTTGTCAATTTCCTACAAGAAAAATTCTGTACTGCTCTCAATTTCTTTATAATTGTTGCAGAAGTGTTTGACGATACTGTAGAGCAATAATAAAGTTTTCTTATTACTAAAGCATTGATAATTAAGCGAAAACTATCCCTATGAAAGCTA